AGTTACTATCGACCTAATCACAGCTAAATCCAAAGGCCATACTAATTCTTCTTGACCTCTCTGCTGCCTTTGACACAGTTTAACATGCTCTCCTTCTTCAAACTCTTCAATAACTCGGTCTCTGTGACTCTGTCCTCTTGTGGTTTTCCTCTTACCTCTCCCAACGCTCATTCAGTGTCTCCTTTTCTAATGATACCTCCTCCCCTCGTCCTGTCTCTGTTGGAGTCCCCCAAGGCTCTGTCCTTGGTCCCCTTCTATTTTCTCTTTTTATACTGCCTATCTTGGCAAACTTATTACCTCTTTTGGATTCCAGTACCACCTGTACGCTGATGACACCCAGATATATCTCTCTTCCCCGGACCTCTCTACGGCTGTCCTGCAACGTGTCACTGCTTGCCTTTCTTCCATCTCTGACTGGATGTCCTCCCGCTTTCTGAAACTCAATCTCTCTAAAACTGATCTCCTTGTCTTTCCTCCTCCTAACACTGATCCTCCTCTTTCGTTATCCCTTCGAGTTAGTGGTATTCACATAAGTTCATCCTTGCAAGCGCGCTGTATTGGCGTCATACTTGATTCTGGCCTCACCTTTGAGCCTCACATCCAGTATGTTGCCAAATCCTGTATATTCCATCTTAAAAACATAGCCCGCATCCGCCCCTTTCTTACACAAGATATTACCAAGGAGCTTGTCCATGCTCTAGTAATTTCCCGCATGGATTAATGTAACCCTCTCGTGATTGGTCTTCCCAAAAACCGTACTGCTCCACTACAGTCCGTAATGAATGCTGCCGCCAGAATGATTTTCCTCTCCAGTCGGTTCTCTCACACCTCTCCCCTCTGCCAGTCCTTACATTGGCTTCCTGTATCCTTTAGGAGTCAATTCAAGGTACTAATTCACACCTATAAAGCACTGAACAATTCTTGCCCCTCTTATATCTCGATCTCTCCGCTCTGCCCGTGACCTTCTCCTGTCTGTTGTTCACAGCCATACGGCCAACTCACGTTTGCAGGACTTCTCGCGGGCAGCTCCCTTCCTATGGAATAGCCTGTCTACCGCCATCAGACTCTCCCCTAGTCTTGCATCTTTTAAGAATTGCCTTAAAACCCATCTCTTTAGGAAAGCTTATGGCCTCCCAGAGTAACCTTTACCTTACATACCTGTCTCTTGCTTTCTCCTAAGTAGCACTCTACTCTCTCCCCCAGCTCTGCCTCACTCCCACCTTATTTGATTGCGAATTCCTGTCCTATTGTGTTTTACACCCCCACCTCCTATAGGATGTAAGCTCGTTTGAGCAGGACCCTCTTCAACCTATCATTCCTGTAAGTTGTCTTGTAATTGTCCTATTTATAATTAAATCCACCCTCTCATAATATTATAAAGTGCTACGGAATCTGTTGGCGCTATACAAATGGCAATAATAATAATTAGGTGCCCCCTCCCGTTGGGCTGAAGGAGTTAAAACCCCTTCAGCCACTTACCTTAATCCAGCGCCAGACTCCCTCAGCGCTGGTCTTCCTCAGCGCTGGTGACCTCTCCTCCCCATGCCGACGTCAGCTCTGAATGCGCGGCCAGAGCCGCGCACACATTCAAACCGCATGAGTTCAATGCGAGTTCAATGCGATTTTCGCCAGCCACTAGAGGCTGGATTAACCCTTAATGCAAACATAGCAGTTTCTCTGAAACTGCTATGTTTTCAGCTACATGGTTAAAACTAGGGCTACCTGACACCCAGGGCTTCCTATAGGCAGGCGCCTAGGGTGCCCCTTCGCCCCGCCCCCTCATGCTGTAGCCGCCTGAGAGACCACCAGGGGAGGGAGACCACTAGAGGGGAGAGGAGGCCACTAGGGGGAATGGGAAAAGGAGAGACCTCTGGGCGGGGGGGGGAGAGGAGAGACAACTGGGGGACCAGCCCAGGCAGGGGTGGGAAGGGGAGACCACTAGGGGAGGAGGGGGGAGAGGAGAGATCACTAAGGGACAAGTGAGGAGAGACCACGAGGGGAGAGGAGAGACCACCAAGGGAGGAGAGGAAAGACCACAAATGTGGTGGGGGTAGGAGAGAGCACTAATGGACAGTAGGGGAGAGCAGTAATGGACAAGAGGGGAGAGCTCTAAGGGACAGGGAGAGGAAAGGAGACCACCAAGGGACGGGTGGGAGTCAAAGAGATTATTAAGGCACAGGGGAGTGGAAGACACACAGAGAGGTTTAGAAAGGGGGGAAAGAAAAGCACAAAAGTGCTGGTAGGGGAGAGAGACACACAAGGGGGCTGGGGGGAGTAAGACACACAAAGAAGTTGGGAGGATGTAGGAGACATACAAAGAGGGGGGATAAGAGACAAACAAGGGGCTTGCAAGAGAAACACTATAGGGGGACGAAAGACGCAAAACAAAAAAATTATATTTTTTCTGCTCCCCTCTCAGGCCCTATCCTACCCCACAAACCCTTTTTCTCAATATACACACACACAATGCATCCCTATACATACACAGAAACACACAATGCATCCCTACACACACACAGGGAGACACACAATGCATCCATTACACACACAATACATCCCTTACACACAAACACACACTGCTTTCTATCCTTTACACAAAAACACACTGCATCGCCTACACAAACTGGTATCCCTATACTCTACATTCCATAAGCACACACATTAGATCCTCTATAGGTGGGCCTTATGGGCATACTCACCGTCAGACCATGGGGGCCCAGACCTTGAGCTGTGTAAAAGGCGTTGGGTTTTTTACTTAAACGTTACAAAAACATTTTTTGAAAACTTTTTATTTTTACCTTTTAAAAGCTTATTTTAAAACTTTTTTAATGTTAACCCCTAGTTAGCCTAACACCAAATTCCCCACTAACTTCCACCCATCCCAGCTCGCTAAATATCTAATTTTTAAATATTTAAATTAATAAAATAAATTTAACCCCTGAGGGTTAAAAAAAAAATAATAATTAACCCTCAGGGGTTAAAAAAAAAAATCAGATGACATTAAAATGTATCCCCTGCCAATTGATCACTGTAATCAGTGATCAATTGGCAGGGAAGGGGTTAATTTTATTAAAGCAGGGGGAAAGGGGGGGTTTTAACTTTATTTTTTTTTTACACAGGGGAGAAGATCAGCAGCACTGATCCGTGTCCCTGCACTTCACACAGAATCCGGAAGTGCAGGGAGGTGGATGGTAAGTATCTGCAGCACATGTGCTCGCTCTGACAGCCTGTCAGAGCGAGCACTACTGCAGGGGCAGCGCGATCTGGTGCTCCCGATCTGCCTCTAATACAGAGGCAGACAGGGTGAGCGTTAACCCCGCAATCGCGGCAATCTGGGGTTAACTTTAGTAAATGACGGAAATTTTCCGTCAACTGGGTGCCTATAGTGGTCCTTTAACCCCTTCCCGACCGCAGACGGAAATTTTCTTAACTGAAGGACAAGGTTGACGGAAAATTTCCGTCTGCGGTCGGGAAGGGGTTAAAGGACCACTATAGGCACTCAGACCACTTCAGCTTAATGAAGTGGCCTGGGTGCCAGGTCCACCTAGGATTAACCCTGCCTGCTGTAAACATAGCAGTTTCAGAGAAACTGCTATGCTTACTTTAGGGTTAATCCAGCCTCTAGTGGCTGTCTCATTGACAGCCGCTAGAGGCGCTTCTCACTGTGATTTTCACAGTGAGAAGATGCCAGCGTCCATAGGAAAGCATTAAGAATGGAAAGCATTGCCGTGCACGCGCATTCAGCCGATGACGGGAAAAGGAGGAGGAGAGTCTCCAGCACCGAGGGAGCCTGGCACTGGAGAAAGGTAAATGTTTAACCCCTTTCTCTCCATCAAGCCCAGCGGGAGTGGGGCCCTGAGGGTATGTTTTCCTGGCACTATAGTGGTCCTTTAAGGGGTTAAATATAGTCTCCTCCTTTACTTTGTTGATTCCCTTTTATGTATTTAAAAGTTTCTATCATATCCCCCCGTCTCGTCTTTCCTCCAAGCTATACATGCAAAATGTGCCTCCAGCGTCGCAGATGCGCCCCTAGTGGCTGTCCCGAAGACAGCCACTAGAGGCTGGATTAAACCCAAATGTAAACATAGTTTCCCTGAAACTGCTATGTTTGCATCTGAAGGGTTAAAACCTGAGGAACCTGACACCCAGACCATTTCATTGAGCTGAAGTGGTCTGGGTGACTATAGTGTCCCTTTAACCTTTCCTGGTAAGTTTTATCCTGCAATCCATGAACCAGTTTAGTAGCCCTTCTCTGAACCCTCTCTAAGGTATCAATATCCTTCTGAAGATACGGTCTCCAGTACTGTGTACAATACTCCAAGTGAGGTCTCACCAGTGTTCTGTACAATGGCATGAGCACTTCCACTCTTTCTACTGCTAATACCTCTCCCTATACAACCAAGCATTCTGCTAGCATTTCCTGCTGCTCTATTACATTGTCTGCCTACCTTTAAGTCATCAGAAATAATCACCCCTAAATCCCTTTCCTCATATGTTGTAATATACAGTGATATATTATTCCAGTAGCAGGATAGGAAGTTTAGACCAGGGCTAGGCAATGTTTGGTACTCCAGATGTGGTAGCCTACAACCCCCATAATGTTCTTACAGCCACAATGCTGGCAAAGCATCACGGGATATGTAGTCCACACAGCTGGAATGCTGGAGGTTGCCTAGCCCTGGTCCAGACGTTACCGTGTTATTGCTGTAGAACATGTTTATGTATGAACTGAGCGAGTCACGCTGGGTCACGCACGCCTCTCACTCCCACAGCCGGGTATTTAAATCCAAGCCCCGCCCACAGGCTCACACAGACCAAAGATTCTGCGAGACAGCACCGTTAGCTGTTTTGGCTCCTCCTCCAATGACCGCCCACGCCGGCCGCTGATTGGCTAAGTCTTTCGAATCCTAGAGGTCAAACAAATCACCACGGCAACGGCATCGTAAGGCGCAAACCTATTGGTCGGCGGTCAACCAATAGGAGAGCGAGATGGGCGGGTCCCGCGGGATTCAAAAACTGTCCGTGTGTAGGGTTAGTGGTGCCGGGAGCTGGTTGGGTTCGCACACAGTCTGCTATCCGGGAATACAGCCTTGCCGACACCGCTCCACCCGCTCCCACAGCCGAGACCAGTGATCGGTATTGCAGGTAGGTGACATTATCCCCCATAGAATGGGGCTCATACACTGGGATCCCGCTGGGTCAGGGAACACGCTGTGTGCAGCACTGGACAAGACCAGATCCCCAGCTAGTGTCCAACTACAACTCCCATGAGGCTTTGCCAGGGGAAAGGATGGCAAAGCATCATGGGATTGGTAGTTCTACAACTATTGGTGATCTGCCCTTTGCCACCTTGGTTTAGGAGGTGTAGCTCACATCCCCTGACTATCACACTGTTGTGCTCTTTATTCCCTGGTTATGGGTACTTTTCAATTTAAATTCTACCCACTGATTGGGGTGTATGTACCCCTTGACAGGGGGTTAGATAATTTATCTGAGGGTCACTGCTTTCTCAGTTAACATTATAGAAACCATATTGAGCATAATGTTTCCTGATATTTTCAGATGTGTCTGAAAATTACCGAATATCAAAATGTATGGGGTAGTATATCTAAAAAAAAGGGGTACAATTTTATAAAGAGCAGTGTTTTTTTTTTTTTTTTTTTAATCTAATGGAAGTTATGTTTTGGTGGGTGACTTCAGGTTTAGGGGGCTTAGGACTGCACAGCCTATTTGCCTAGTGTTTATCCATGGAACCTGCTAAGACTTGTTCATTGTATTTAGATGCAATGTGGTTTCAATTTTGGCTGCATGTAAAGATAGATTTGGTTGCTTTGAACAGAATAGTGAGTGACAAACTGCAGCACAAATACATTATAACTAATCTACATGTGAATAGCTAAAATGTGTTGAAAAGGTTAAAGGAACACTTGACATTCCAAGACTACTACAGCATGTTCTAGTGGTTATGGTGCTAATAGTGCCCTGGCACACCCCTCAATGCATGTAGTTAAATAATTTTCTAGTGGCTTGACTTTTCACCTGGGGTTCGCTGTGTGATACTCGCTGCTCAGGGTATAGCTCAATTTGCTCCATGCAGGAGTTTGTTTGTCTTCTGGATTGGAAGGAAACGGCAGGGATCGGCATCCAGCAGCAATAGGTAAGGAGTCAAACCGTAGGAACAGCTGACTGTACACTGGCATTCCTGGCACCGTATGCATTAGTTTGCTGTAAGGGTTGGCGTTTTACTTAAACTGTTTCAACACAATTGGCTATGCACAAAAGGCACATTTAATTGTTTACATTTGAACCGCAATGCCATTTGGATATCGCTTGCAAGATTGGGTAAAACACTCAAAGCACCATAACCACTACAGCTTATTATTTTAGATCAGTTTGACAACTTAAAGGACCACTCTAGGCACTCAGACCACTTCAGCTTAATGAAGTGGTCTGGGTGCCAGGTCCAGCTAGGGTTAACCCATTTTTTCATAATTATAGCAGTTTCAGAGAAACTGCTATAATTATGAATGGGTTAAGCCTTCCCCTAATCCTCTAGTGGCTGTCTCATTGACAGCCACGCTATGCGTGCTTCTCACTGTGATTTTCACAGTGAGAGCACGCAGCGTCCATAGGAAAGCATTGTAAATGCTTTCCGGCTGAATGCGCGCGCAGCTCTTGCCGCGCGTGCGCATTCAACCAGGAGGAGGATCGGAGGAGAGAGGAGCTCCCTCCCAGCGCTGGAAAAAGGTAAGTTTAAACCCCTTTCCCCCTTCCAGAGCCGGGCGGGAGGGGGTCCCTGAGGGTGGAGGCACCCTCAGGGCACTATAGTGCCAGGAAAACGAGTGTTTTCCTGGGACTATAGTGGTCCTTTAACTTTGCTCCTGTCAGACACCTATGGTCACATACCCTAATTCTGAGGAACAGCAATTGAGAGAATCTAGCTGTACTGAGCTATAGGTAAAGTCAAGCAGAACCATGATCATTGTGTGAGTGGCCGCCAAGCCGATCAGCCATGCTTAGCTCTTCTGAGACATCTGGCTTCTACCGGGGATGTTCTGAAATAACTACACTGGCATAGCACTAGGGCAATCCTGGCACACTAACTGCTAGAATGTTCCTTTTAAAGGTTATATCATCCACATCAAAAGGAGTTTTCATAAAGATAAACATGACAGTGGCCATGAAGAACTGGGTTAGGTAAGCAAAACTTATCTTCTACTGCACCCATGGTCATTGGGCACCAAGCGGAGCAGTCACAGTTGGTGGTCTCTGCAGACTCCATACACTGACAGAGCTGCTTTAAAGGGATTCTATAGTGTTAAGAGTTCAAAGCTGTATTCCTAATTCTTTAGTGTACCTCTTTCCCCACAGCCCCCCTTTGCAGCAATGAAAGGATTAAAAAAAAAACAAACAAAAAAAACACACTATTTAACTTACCTGTTTAGTGCTGGCTCCGCCTCCTCCAGTGTCAGTGCAAAGGGAAACCTATCGCATATATGTGGCGAGTGCTGCCCATGTATTAGGCCTTTTCCATAGAAAAGCATTGACTGAGTGCTCTCAATGGGAATTTCCAAGACGTTGGTACATGATCTGCTTCTTTTCTCATCACTGACCATATTTAATGGGAAAAGTCATTTCCATTTTACTGTTTCTGGCGTCCATAGCCTTTGCTGCTTTGTCATGAGTGTAATGGTTAATGCTACAAATACGGAGTCCACAAGCGGCTAGCCCAGCTCTTAGCCTGCACTAATACTCTTTGACTTGTCAGGTGCTGCTAGTCCTCTTTGGACAGGTTGGCAGCAGGTGGTATTCCACGTATGGTAAAGTTATGACTGCTGCATGTCTCTGCTGTGGTGTTCTGGCTCATATTCATGTAATTCAGTGTTCTAGGAGTCCCTAATAACAAGCCATTTGAATATAATTTATGGGCTTAAATACATTCTAGAAATATTTCTCTATGTAAAACCAACTTTAACTAATATAATTTGACAATGGAGAGCGCTAGCGGTCCAGCAGCTCTTGTGGAATTATAACCTACAGGGCCTCCACCTGTCCAACCCCAACCATCGCGGCTGACAAACAAGCTCCCCAACGAAGACAACATAGCGGCAGCCTTTGACCTTTTCTGGACCAGATGGCAGGCCATAAAGGCGCAGACCCTAGCAACCACAAAGGTCCACCAACTTGCCTGCACCTAAGCGCACAGCCACGCCACCGACCGGCAAGCAACAGCAGAGGGTTCAGACCTTAAGGCCGCACATCACCTATCCGACACCATCGACAGATTCAGAGAATCTCTCTCCACAGCCTGCCGCTGCACAACCCAAAAAAGAAGTGCACTCGAAAGGCCTACACTCGGCCCACGGCAGGAGAAGCAAAGATGGCTTATCAGCACATCACCCACTAACAGCAATGCACAGCCGCAACCAGCCTCCAGAAGAACTTTGCCTCCTCGTTCAGTGGACAATCAGACACTTACCCGCAGAACAGGGGCAGCAGGAAAGCCGACACGCCACCAAAGGACTCTCCTAACCATCCGAGGCACTCACGGGGGACTAGGAAGTAACGGTGGAGACCTTCCACATCCCATGACCCATGGTACTGGGGACCCGGACTGCCACACGCACCTGGACTGTATCCAGCATCCAATAGGTATTGGCTGAACTATTATGGGCACCCCACAGGCAAAATGGCCAACAAGCTCTCATGGGGTTAATTGCCTGTCTCCTGGACTGATACCGCATCACACAACAAGATGCAATTTAAAACCTATCACTTGAAGCCCATTTGCACTCGAGTAACCGCAATGATAAGATAACCATACCGAAATGTTTTATTTTCATCTTGGCACACACATAATGTTTAATGGGGAGATTTGCCTTCACACTACAGTGTTAATTAATGAAGCATTTCATAGCCCCCCTTGCTATATAATAACCACCCTTGTATAAAAGCTAGACCTACCCTCTATCAATCTGTTAATGTTATTCCGTGGTACCCACAGCTAGCTAACTGGAAACACTAGCAAAGTTATATTCAGTTATGACTATTATAATAAGCGATCATTTTATTTTACTGACTTCAATGTTGAGCCAAGCTGATGTTTGTTATAAATATATATAAAACTGTGCAATTTCTCATGCCACTGTTCAACTTAAGTATATTCTCAGACACGCTGTTGTGGCGTATGACATTGCTATGTATAATATGCACAACAAAAATAAAGAACTAAAAAAAAAACTGAGGAACTGCAAGGTCCAGGGACTAAAGGTACATAATTGTAGGAGTCGGGTGCATAAATCTAAATAGCTAGGAAAACTATTAGGAGTATGTTTTGTGTTCCATTAAATGTAGATATCTTCCCACTTAATCCTATTTCTGCGTGACTCCATCTCATCGCTCTGTCTATTGCAGCCTCTCCCAGTTACCTACACTAAGCTTGCTTGACTCCATTTTGCCCCCAAATTAAATCTATATTCTGCAAAGGACACTTCCAATGCTTTGCAGTTACTGATGGGACATGTATGTATGCCATTTCTCTCTAGATGCATGTACACATCTCGGGCAGAATGTGGCGATTAAGTTTCCCATAATGCAAAACTGGAGTGGAAGTTCCTAAAGCTAGAACACTGGCTAAAACTGTGTCCTAATAAAGCCTTTAGTTTTTTTTTTTTTTTTTTGTTCTTGCATCCACCATATTATGCACACCAGTGAACACTTCAATAGCATTTACTAGGGTGAGGGGGAAACAAGAACTCTTCCTTCAGAGAAGTGACTGAGCCACTTTAAAGTGATCCGTGTGTCTGTCTATCCTCTATGAATTATCATTGGAGAGTATTTGTTAAACTTTGACAAATACTTCAGCAAACAATTCTCCAGCTTTCACGTGTACCCTTTTTTAAAATTTATTTTTCACTTTTGTAGTTCTCTGACATCATGATGCCAACACTTCGACAGGCTCGGCCGGTTGCATCCAAGCTCCCTCGTCCTGGGAAGACCGTAGCAGTGGAAAATGTTCGTCCTGACAAGGTAATGTCTGATTACTGACCTGTCTTGGTGCATTGGCTGTTACCCTCTGGGTGCGATCGTAAAGTTCTGTTCCACTGACTTGAAATTGGTATACAACTTTATTCAGCCTTTGTACCTTTTATTGCATTTTCTGTTCACATATTCATATCTATATACTGTATCCGGATTGAACACTGAAGTACTGCCTTCCCTTGCATAATATTGAGAAGCAGTTTGTGGCTTCCTCCTTGTAAGCGGATTCATTTAACCCACTTAATAATAGAGAACCCTCACCTGCCGTACATGGATGAGAAAAGGGTAGGGGTACCAATGCCCAGGTTGCGTCCTGTTGAGTAGAGGGAGCTTGTCAAATTATCACTATTTCAGAGCCAGACAAATGTTAATTAGTTCTGCACTCTGTTGGCACACAAGCCATAAGTATGCCACATTGCGGGTATTAATACCAAAGGACAACAGAGGGCGTTTCACAGCCAGTGGGTTGATCAAAGATCTCCCTCACTATGCAAGCTGCCCACACCTTTGCACGATTGCAACTTGCACAGAATGCCCCCTTAAAATGCCTTGATACTAGACCAAGTTCTCCTTCTTACATAGCTGAAAAGTGACTTGTGTCCATCAAGTTCAGCCTTCCGCACATATGTTTTTGCTGTTGATTTAAAAGAACACAAAAAACCTAGTCTGAAGCGCTTCCAATTTTGCAACAGACTAGGAAAGAGATTCCTTGTTGACCACAAAATAGCAGTCAGATGTCTCCTTGGATCAAGCAGCTAATACCCCACCAATTAGAAATTATATCCCTGTATGTTTTGTTTTTTGCAAGTATTTATTAAATGGCAGTTTAAGCGTCTGTATGGACTCTGATAAAACCACCTCTTCAGGCAGAGCATTCCATATCCTTATTGTTCTTACTGTAAAAAAACCTTTTCTTTGCCTTAGATGAAATCTCCTTTCCTCCAGCCTAAATGTGTGACCTTGTGTCCTATGTATAGCCCTGTTTATGAATAGATTTCAAGATAAAGTTTTGTACTGGCTCCGAATATATTTTTGTATAATGTTATCATATCCCAAATCATTTTGCTGGAGGTTATCACGCTTTGACACATTCCCTGACAACTTTCGGAACAAGTTGTCTGCAGCATCTCTGTGCTGACCAATCTGCATCTTCTTGAATTAATGCATCTCTGTTGAAAATTCACCACGTGCATGGAGACACTGAATTTCACGTTGTGCAGCACTGACCCAGGAAGCACCTCTAGTGGCAGTCTGAGTGACTGCTACTTGGCGCAATGTACACTGCCTTTTCTCAGAAAAGGCAGTTTTTACATGAAAATGCCTGCAGTGACTGACTATACTCACCAGAACAACATTAAGCTGTAGTTGTTCAGGTGACTATAGTGTCACTTTAATAAGCTGGTTTCGTGTAGCATTTTGGCGTTTGACGGGTTCACCTTCACTGTAGTATACCATATTCTATGTGTTTAATAGAAATTAAACGCACTAGCTGTTTCAAAAAAGGCTGTAGTGTGTGTGTGTGTGTGTGTGTGTATGTATATGTGTGTGTATGTATGTGTGTGTGTGTGTATGTATATATGTATATATACGCATACGCAAAAGGGGTCTGAATGCTCTTTATATGGTTCGATTTTTGTTTAACATCATGCATGCATATAAATACATTCATTCATTTTCTTGTAGGAGGAGGGTGTTCAGGTCAAGCGATCGCCATCCTCTCCCCAGGGGGGTGTTAAGAAGAGATCTGCTTTTGGAGACCTCACTAATGTAAGTATATACTCACAACTCTGGTGTGTGGTTGGTTGTTTTTCCTTTCCTTATACCCCATTCATATTAAAGTGGCTTTATTCTGAGAGTTCACTGACGCTCAGAAAATGTTGATGATCTAAACTGTTACATTATGTACAATTACAGTAGTGGCTGTTCGTTTGCATGTATCTATTAGAAACAAGAATATACTGTTCCATAATTGTTTTATAGGCTCATAAAAATATCCAGCCGCAAAAGAAAAAAGATGGACAAAAGGTTGCCGTGAAAAAGACAAAAAACGCTTCTCAGAGTGGAACTGCTAAAAACAATGAGCTGAATCTCAAAAAGTAAGTGTATTAATATTGCCTTTTTTTTTTTTTTTTGGACCAAAACAACTCTTAGCTTAATGAAGTAGTTTTTGTGTATAGATCATGCTCCTACAATCTCACTGCTCAATTCTCTGCCATTTGAGTTTCAACACTTTGTTTATGCAGCCCTTGTCACACCTTCCTGCATATGACTTACACGGCCTTCCTAAACACTTCTTGTAAAAAATCACCTAATGTTTATAGTTCATTTATTGCACAGTTTTGTTTAATTTGCAATTTCTTATCTAATGCTCTGTTAATGGCTTGCTAGACCCTGCAGGAGCCTCCTGTATGCTCCACTTGCAGAGCAGGAGATAAAACGTTTAAAAGTAAGTTACACCTGATTGAAAATAAAACCATTTTGTTATGCAGGCTGTGTCAGTCACAGCCAGGGGAGGAGTGCATCAACCGAAATAAATAATTAACTCCCAAATGGCAGTGAAATTTCATAGGCCTGATCTGCAAAGTAAAACTGTTTAACTACTGACCATTGCATTTTTAATTTATTGAAATTAATGCACATTTAAAAATATATCTCTTTATGACTGGTTTTTTTTTTTTTCTTCTCACAGGACTCTTAAGAAAATTACAGCTGAGGAGCTGGTCTCTGAAGTTGTAAAGGAAGAAAGGCTAATCACTGAAGAAACCTCTCCACCTAAAGTGTGTTTGGAACAGGTATAACATTTCTACATTTTGTAACTTGGGCCCTGATTTAATATTGTAGGATAATTGTTATGTTATTATGTAATATTTGAATATTTAGATTCATTTATTAAAAAAAAAAAAAAGAATTCTGACTATTGGGAGGGGGGGAGAATTATTTTAAAACTGGTTTTTTTCCCCCCAGCAGAAAATGTTGTCATTTGAAAAGCTTGTGCCGCAATATTAATTCTAAGCTTTAGATTGTGGTGGGGTGTGTTCTGGTTTTATGTAATACGTGCTCTCAACCTATTTACTTCCAAAGTTTGGGCTAGAATTTAGAAATAAAAGTAAAAAGTTCTTTCTTTTAGTATCTGTGATCTAATGATCATATATGGCTGCAAAAGGCTGTTTCTAGATATTGAACACAGAAGAATTAGAGCAGAGACGCTGTGATATATGGGATATAATATTTTATGGGTTATGCATTGCTCAACCGAAGCAGAGCGAACAATGGGGCTCTATTAATCTCTTCTAATTTGTTTTAGCCATTTTTCCCCTGACCTTCATTCTCATCTATTTTTTTATTTTTTTTTTTTTTTATTTTTTTTTACCAGCATTACTGTATTATATAAATATTTGCATGAATTATATTCTGAACTGTGTATTCTCCCACCCCCCCACAGCTGCTGCCACCTGATGTAGAAGATATAGATCAGGACGGCAGTGAGGATCCATTTTCCAGTTCAGAGTATGCTTTGGACATCTTCAGTTATATGCGTGAGAGAGAGGTCTGTTTGTGTGTTGTGGTGTTTGTGGTTTTTTTTTTTTTTTTAACACTATGTTCGCCAGAAAAAACTACAGTTTATTGCATTTGTTCTGATGATTAGAATCATTCGCTTCAGGCTTTTTGTTGTAAACAGTGTCTTTTCAGAGAGAATGCAGTGTTTTATATTACAGCCTATGGATACCTCCACTGGCCACTCATCATATGGCTACTAGAGGTGCTTCCTGGGGCAGTGCTGCACAGTGAGCAGCACTGCCATTCAGTGTCTCCACCCTCTGCATGCAGACTCTGAGCTTTCCTCAGAGATTAATTGATTAAATTCATCTTGAGGAGATGCTGATTGGCCAGTGCTGTTTGACTTGTGTTGGCTCTGTCCCTGATCTGCCTCCTTGTCAGTCTCAGCCAATCCTATGGAGAAGCATTGTGATTGGGTCAGACCATGCTTATTATGTCAGACAACAGGCAGGTCAGAGGCAGACCAGGGCAGAGCCAGCAACTGCAGACTTGAATACAAGTGAGATTTTACTATATTCAGAGGGGCTAGATGGTGTTTTTAACACTACGGGAATACATGTTTGTGTTCCTGACCCTATAGTGTTCCTTTTATTCTCTGTGGATTTTTTTTAAAATTTTTAGTTTTGGGGGGTTTATTGGTTTTTGTTTTTATACTGTCAGACACTGCAAAACACATGCATACATTAAAGTGCAACTACAATCATTTAGTCTATACTTAAAGGGACATGCATCACTGACTTCTACCAGTAAACAAACCCCTTTTTAAATAATTATACAAGCCAAAATAAAGCAAAAACTTAAAGAGACTTCGCACTGTGTTCAAACTTTTATATAAGGCCCCCCCAGCACCACAACCTTCTCCGCTTTAGACTAGGGCACTAATGACAGAAACAAGGCATTATTGTGTAGCAGCATAAGAGAAACCGGAAAACCGAGCCTGCTCTTCATGAATCACTGATCAGACTCCCTCTCTTTTTCTATCTGAGTGTTGCAAGGGGAAGTGATCTTCCAACTGCACACGTTTAAATCTGTCAGGCATGCCCACAGCATTCCTAAAGATAGAGCACTGGCTAGATCCGTGCCACCCTAGTGTGTAAAGCATAAGCAAGAAGAAGCAGGTAAATATGGAATTAAAATAATAATAAAAATGTTTTTATATTTTTAAATCAGCCTGCAAATTAAGGCAATGGTCTTATTCAAAGCGAAGACTTTTAAATATTACGTGTGGGCACAATGATAAAACAGCGGGTATCTATCCACCCCATTTTTTTTATTTTATTTTAAAGGAAAATATTGACTAGCACATTATACACCTTTTAATATATTACAATTTCCTTTTGCTGTTTATTCAAATGTATAATTCAATATGTTTTTGTCTCTGCAGGAGAAATTTGTGCTGCCTAATTACATTGAAATGCAGGATGATATCACGAAGGAGATGAGATCCATCTTGATCGACTGGATGGTGGAGGTGCAGGTGAGTAGTGAAGTGACTGTGACATGTGTGGTTATGGCTCTAAACCAAGGATATAGCTCAAGTGGGAGAGCAATAGACTGAAGAGGAACTGACTTAAGCATATTCTAAAATTTCATTCAAAATCAAAAATGTTGAATTTTTTATTTTTTTTATTTTATGTACAAATATTAGTATTACTAGTTCAGTGGTAGTTTCCTCCTACTAAATGAGGTCTGGGTTAGTTTAGTTATTCATACTTCATCCTAAACAAAAATATCTATATTCAGTTCTTTATAGTTGTTGGTTGAAGTGGTGTTGTCACCTCCAACCCTCCCCTCTATGCAAAAGAAATATTTCATAAAGATAAAATCTTTAAGAACCTCATTGACTGTTGGAATTTCACTTAAAACGTCCAGGGACTTTACAGAATTTGCAAAGACCCCTGATGGTGACGGGACCCCACAAGCATAGGGCCCCACCGCGATGACAATTGGCCGAATCCGACAGGTCTCCTTTCATCGCTCTGCTGTCTACCTTCTCGAGCCACTTGCGGAGATCAAAGCTTACATTTATTTTAAAAAAAACATATTTTATTTAATTTTTTTTATTATTATTCCTGTGAGTGGTTGCGTAGCCAGGGCCTCAGTGCACTGCTTTACCTGCCGTTTTAACTCCATCTGCTGCTGTTGGTGTAACGCCATCTTTGGGGGCAAAATTGGCTTGCCCAGATTAAGATTTCATGGTTGGCTAATATCAATTCTGTGCAAGAGAGGCGCCTCTGTGACTGGTGGGATTCATGTCAAGAGGACCATCTGTTACAAAAGCATTTGCCCCATTACCAGGGAAATGCACCAGGGTTCTTCTAGATTCATAACTGCAGTAGGCTGTAGTGATGTGATATGCTTGGAGTAAGCCTTAAAGACCATGTGCAATATATATTGTAAGCAAATAATACTTGTGTAAGCAAATTGCCCTTAATTTGAACTGACTAAATAAAACTGTAGTAGATAAAGGAAATCCTAGCTGTCTTAGACCTCAATTGGTTTTAATGCTTACAATCTTTTCTAATATTCCTGGATTAATGAATCGTTCATGCTTTTTCCAACAGGAGAATTTTGAGTTGAACCATGAGACTCTCTACTTGTCAGTTAAAATGGTCGACCACTATCTAGCAGCAACTGTGGCAATGCGGGAGAAGTTGCAACTTATTGGGTCCACGACCGTGCTTATTGCTTCCAAATTTGAGGTGAATATTTGTGATGAATGCATTATCTGAAATATACAGTCAACTTCATTTTTTTGTATGGTTTTTTTTTTGTGTGTGTCTTCTAGTGTATCATTAGGGGAATGCGCGCAAATGTCCCAATCTGTACTTCTGTTAACTAGTACATTTTATGTTACAGCATGTATAGTTGCAACTTATTTCTAAAACAAGCACTATATAAAAAGATAGTGATATACAAACCAATAATGGAAGTAGAACAGGGACTTCTAGTGCAAACCATTTTTCCATTAAGAGCAGTGATCGTTATTAAAGATCATAAGATAAGCAGATAGTAAAGTCTAATATTGGGACACTTGTCTCAAACTCCAGCAGCAAACATGGTCAGTTACACTTTTACTGATGTGCGATAATATCCATATTCTACTGTTGCCTGTCTAACAGATTCCAGCCAAAAAAAAACATTTTATTTATTTATTTATTTTTTTTAATCTCTAGGAACATTGGCAGTGGTGGGTCCTAAATAAAGAACAGAAATCTGATAATTTTTTTTTTTTTTTATTTAATTTTTTTTCTGACATATGGTGGCAGTATATATGGGTTGTGCTTCCTAATTGGAACAATCATCTGCAAGATAGGTGATTAAGAAAAGTCCCCTCCCCTTTACCCTATGAAGGGCCCCCCTTACCGGCACACCCACCTCAGTTCTTCCTTGTCACAGCACGGGACCAATCAAGTGTCTGTTGAAGGTGAGGCACACCGGTTGCTGTCTGAAGGAGGAAGACAAATAGCAGCCTGGGTGGTAGGCTGAGCAGCATGGCTCCACCCCGCGGATATTCTGGAGCCCTTTCTGTTTAACTTTGCGCCGAGTATGTACCGGCTTGGTGAGTATGGGCCGAGGGTCGCCTTCATTATGTTGCAGTCCATGCGCCTGCGCACAGCAGTGAAATGCACGCTCAGGTGGCGTTGCGTTCCACCGAAGTTACGGGTGCGATATTGTACATGCGCGAACTGGAACTTACGGGAAACCGCAGAGTTGGTGGCAGCAGGAGGCTTGTTAGAATGGTTCCCCATGTCAACAACCCTCCACACAGCTCAGAGGTTTTCAAGGTAAGATTCGCTGATCTTTCCTTCGAAATTCTGTTCTGATTAAAATTGCAAGTTATGGATGGAATTGTTTTGCAGAAAGTGTACTGAGTGCAAAATGGACTGTTTGTACACCGTGGAATGCCTCTGCTATACAAGGCTTTTGCTCATAGTATCTGTGCTATTCCCCTTAATCTGGTTCTGGGGTTTATAAATCTGTCCAAGGTGCTGCAATTTCTTGGGTAAAATTAAGAAGAGAACATGCAATCATTCCTATCTTTTGAATTTTTATAGAGAATCAAATAGTGTATCAGCTGCGCTGCCTGAGATGTTCCGCAGAGACGTCCTTCGATTCCTTCTAATGTCTGGCAAATGTTTATATACTTCTTCTTAAGACTTGTGTGGTGGTTCATACTGTGTGGAGTTGGTTCCCACCTGATGTATTGAGAAGGTTCATTAGGAATTAATCGGTCATGGGGCAGGATAAATCTGCTAAACTTTAATGAGGGTTATCTGTTCCTCAAACCCCCGTGTCTTTCTTATATGCAGAAATGGGAACACACTTTGTAACAAGCTTTTCTTGCCCAGCGTTTAATATGTTTACCTTCAAATGGGTTACACCTCCAGGTACACCGGGAACCCATAAAATTCTGCAGAAGTAGCTGCTTTAAAAACCCTGTCGTCAAGAAGGCTGTGATTTCTTGCAGAAAATCTTTCCAGACTGCTGGGTTTCGGTATGGGTCTTTGCTGGCAGGTGCAGCGGTGTCCAAAACGTATACCTTTGTTTACAATCGTTAAAGGATCACTATAGGGTCAGGAACACAAACTTGTATTCCTCACCCTATTGGGTTAAAACCACCCTGAGCCCCTCATGCCTCCCTAAATATATACATCTTACTTGTATTCATGTCTGGACCTGCTGGCTATGTCTCTGTTTCCTTTAGACCTGCCAGCTGACATCAGCAGACGTGGTTGTCTGATCCAATCACAATGCTTCCCCATATGATTGGCTGAGACTGTCAAGGAGGCATCTCCTCATAGAGCTGAATTGAATCTCTGAGGAATGTTCAGTGTCTGCATGCAGAGGGAGGACACACTGAATGTTTGGATGCATTTTAGGCAGCAATGCCCCAGGAAGCACCTCTAGTAGCCAATGGAGGTATCCATAGGCTGTAATATAAACACTGCATTTTCTCTGAAAATACAGTGTTTATAGCAAAAAGCCTGAAGGTAATTCTACTCACCAGAACAAATTCAATAAGCTGTAGTTGTTCTGGTGTCTATAGTGTCTCTTTAACCCCTTAAGGACCAAACTTCTGGAATAAAAGGGAATCACATGTCGTGTCTTTAAGGGGTTAATGTAGGTTACTTAAGTCTCCTGATAAGCAGCTCATCAATTTTCCTGTTTTATTTGTGATTGTCACATACTCTATATGGATTTGACAATGACTGCCAAGATGGTGTGTGTGGTTTTTTTTTTTTTTTTTTTTTTATAACCGTTGAAAAAGGAAAAAAGCTCTGCCTCAAGACAAGTAGAGCTTGGAGGCGTAATCCTGCATTTCTATACGAAGTGTGGATGGCTCAGTAGGTTTAGACCTTGTTCAACCCTTGGGGTTCACGGGTTCATTTCCCCTGCAGGGTTGACTCTGCCCTTCATCCCTTTGGGGTAGATGACTGTAGTATGAGTCAATAGAGTCACTTAGCATTCCCATGATGCATTTGGGAAACCGTATATATCTCTTGCCTGGCTTTTAAGTAGAACCTACTTTCAATTAGTGGTTTCTTGATATAGTTAGAGGGTAACGCTTGCTCTTTTCAAATTTGCACAATCCATAATCTTCCGAACATCTGATTCTCTATTTACAGAAACAATGTTCAGGTAGATAGCAGAGTGCTACAGTAACATGGTTGGATACAGAGACTGTAATGTATTTTCTTCCCCAGGAAACAGGTTTATTTTTTTTTATTTTTTTTTTTGAGGTTCGTGTTAACCTTAAAACGTTACTTCTGCATCTATTTCACTGGAAAGGTCCAATTACTAATAAAGCAAAAATCCCTCCATAAGAACAGGAAATGAGGTTGCTGGGATGTCTTACATCTTCAATTCTTGCGGTCAACTGGGCAAAACCTGAATAGAAAGCACAACCCATACTTACTGTCACCATATATTTAAAAAAAATAAAAAACGTGTGTGTGTGTGTGTGTGTGTGTGTGTGTGTGGTGTGTGGTTTTGTTTTTTTTTTTTTTTAATTCAAATTCTGATAAAATAGAACTGTCACTTACCAGTTGTCAAATGTAAGTTTCAGGCTGTTATTGTCTCTTATTGTTGGTGGTAATTTCCAGAGGAAAAATAAAGTAATATTTATTCATACAATTCTTTTTGTTTGGGGATACATGGAATAATTTGATTGTGCATAGATTTAGTCTGTCATTTCTCTGCAGGTGTGTGGGTCTTAAGCTTTGTGTTTTAATTCTCTCAATTTTCTTAACCAGGAGCGCTGCCCTCCCTGTTTGGATGACTTTCTTTACATCTGTGATGATGCGTATAGAAGGGAGGAGCTTGTGGCTATGGAAATGGAAATATTACAAAAACTCAACTTTGACATAAACATTCCTATCCCTTATCGGTTCCTGCGCAGATATGCTAAGGTAAGAGCCTGTCATGTCTTTTGTTTCCCCACTCCCTTTCAAATTTATTTAGCCAGTATGAGTCGGGGGATGGTTCCCCTTTTTTATGTATGTATGTATCCATCCCCTGATGCGCACATATTTATATATATATATATATATATATATTATTATTTTATGTGTTAATTGTAAGTATATCTTCTTGACTGTTCCCCCAGTGTGCCCATGCGAATATGGAAACTCTGACACTTGCTCGCTACATATGTGAACTCACTCTGCAAGAGTATGACTTTGTACAAGAGAGTGCATCTAAAATGGCTGCCAGCTGTTTACTACTCGCACTGAAGATGAAGTGTCTTGGTGGATGGGTGAGTGCATCTATTACATTAGGTTTAAAGATAGTCTCGGTTAGACATACATACATACATACATACAACTAAGCACACCTTTAGGCCTTCACTCTTCCGGAAGGAACTCTGACGAAAAGGGTACTAGAAGCATCAAAGCAACTTTAGCTTAAAGGAACACAACAGGGTCAGGACCGCAAACCTGCCTTCCTGACCCTGTTGTATTAAAACCACCATCTAGCCCCCTGGTTCCCCCTTGCCTCTCTAAATATAGTAAAATCTTGGTTGTATTCAAGTCTGCAGCTCCTGGCTCTGACCTGCCTGTTGTCTGCTGACCTCTTCAGAAGTGGTGGCCTGAGCCAATCACAATGCTTCCCCATAGGATTGGCTGAGACTGTCAAGAAGGCAGATCAGGGGCAGAGCCAACACAAGTCAAACACTGCCCCGGCCAATCAGCATCTCCTCAAGATGAATTTAATCAATTAATCTCTGAGGAAAGCTCAGTGTCTGCATGCAGAGGGTGGAGATACTGAATGGCAGTGCTGCTCACGGTGCAGCACTGCCTCAGGAAGCACCTCTAGCAGCCATCTGCATTACAGCCTTGTGATAACTTCACTGGCCACTCCTCAAACACTGCGTTTTCTCTGAAAATACAGTGTTTACAGCAAAAAGCCTAAAGGGAAGGAATGATTCTACTCCCCAGAACAAATACAATAAGCTGTAGTTGTTCTGTTGACTATATGGTGTCCCTTTAATGAAAGAGTTTGGGTGTATAGATGATGCACTGTCATGGCCACATCCGTTATTTTTGTATTTATTTTTTTTTCAACCCACTTCGTGACTCCACTACATCTAATTTACCCCTATATGATCCTCCTTCTTCCCACACATGCCCAGTTTACACGCTCTTGTCCGAAATTCGGATGGGAATTCTGTCCATTTATTCGTCAGAAAGACGAATGAATAGAAATGTCAAATTTAACTAACTCTGAATATCTCTGTTCGTTTATTACAAGGAGGGAGCTACTGGCACGCAGCTCCCTCCTTTTAATATGTAAAGATAGAAGCGGCAGGGAACTATTCTCCCCGCCACTTCCTAAGCCCCCCCCCCATGTCCTCCCTCAATATATTCAAATCTCCCGAATGCACTTACTCTAGCCTCCACCCTCTAACTGTCCCTCGTGGTGGGGCATCTTTTAACTAGCGGGGATGGACATAGCGCCCACATGCGGAGGGGAGGAGGAATTATTGTCCCACAGTATCAGGAAGCCATATACTAAGCGGCTACAAGATACTGATCAGAATTTAATTTGAATGAAATTTCGAACCCACCTGAAGTATCGAATGTCGTCCTAACATGAATGAACAATCTGTTCTCATTCTATTGGGGCGAAATTCGGTAGTTTCGCTGGCGTTCTGTCTGAATTACAGGACGTTTTGGGAATAGTGAAAGGAGGAGGCATTGCATGGAACAATTCTCACATTTCATGGAGGAAATGTGGGAAATAGCTCTGACCACAGTTAATGGAGCACCCTTTGCTTAGGGAAAGGTAAGTTTGGCATGACAGTGCCGCTTTAATTTTCTGTGTTTTAGGAGTTAAAGGAACACTCTAGTGTTAAGAATGCAAACCTCTATTAATAACACTATAGTATATGCTACCTACGTAGGTTAGTGCCCCCATTCTATTAAAGAGTTAATAGGTTTTAAATGTAACTTTTACTCCACCTCCATGGCTGACATCCTCAATCTAGATTATCTCAACCAATACAATGATTTGCCATAGGAAAGCATTTGGAGGCTATTGTTCATGCGCAGCAATGCACTGCACCAATATCTATCTCCTAGAGATGCATTAAAACAATGCATCTCCACACGAATTACAATGTTAAACTTAACAGCTGTGTAGCATCAAATCCCACTATGTGATACCTGTGTATATCCCTTTTGTCTCTTCTGTACCCCCCTGTTTTTACGACCTATGTTGAAAACGCAATAAAGATATATTAAACAAAAAAACAATGCATCTCTACAGGGCGCATTCAGCGTCAGACACTGAATGGAGAGACAAAGTGCAGCAATGAAATCGGAAGTACCTTTTCTCTGAAAAGGCATAGTGTACAGTGCTGAGTCTGCAGGGACATGCTATAGACCGAAACCACTACATTAAGCAGTTGTGTTTATTGTGACTATGGTGTCCTTTTAAATTTTTTATTTTTTTTCTATCCACACACCCCCTGGCTGAGACTAACACAGCCAACATGAAAGAAAAAAAGGCTTTTTCAATAAGATGTTGGCTTACTTTAGAAGTTTTTATCACCTGCTCTGTAAATTGAATTTTAATCACTGTAGGCTCCTGCACAGTATTGCAAGCTATTAATAGAGCAGGAGATACAAAACTTTAATTTTAAACACTGTGCAATTAAGAAAGTTTAAACATTAGATCTCTTTACAGGAAATGTGTAGGGAAACCGTATTTGTCACACGCAGGGAGGCATGACTAGGGCTGGATAACCCGTGAAATAACTTCTAAATGGCAGAGATTTGAGCAGTGAGACGGCAGGCGCATTGTCTATACACAAACCGCGCTATTAAGCGGAAGTTGTTCTGGTGCTTAGTGTCCCTTTAAGAAGTCTTATCAAGGAGTTTCCTCTGTTCATTTTTATCTGTCCTGTGACTGTCATTCTAAGTTAGTACCTGGGGATGTAATATTCAAGAAATTCCCTTGGATGTTTTCCATGCAGGACCACTTAGTCAGTCAGGCAAAACAAGCTAACCAATCAAATATTTCCTCCTACTTTGATCTCCTGACATACTTTTGCCTTGCTTTTTACAATTGGATTTAACTTGTGAAGATTTGTAGTTTAGTCAATAACCCCAATTGTCACCATGGCGCAATAATAGGCCCTGTATTTTACATTTGACTTTATCTGGAATTTGTATAAATCAATGTATTGTATAATTGAGAAGTGGAGCATTACTAATTTTTATTCCCTCTGGCAGACTGCTACGCTACAGTACTACAGTGGTCACAGTGCCAATGATTTAATTCCATTGGTGAAAAGGCTCAATTTTCTCCTCACAGAACAGCCCAACAGTAAGCTAACCGCAGTACGGAACAAATATTCTCACAAGTAAGTACCTCTTTCCATCTTGTCTTGTGCGACTGCTTTTAGCATTCATGTTGATACTAAAAAAGTACTTGTGGGTGGATATATATATATATATATATATATATATATCTATATCTATATCTATATCTATATCTATCTATATCTATCTATATCTATCTATATCTATCTATATCTATCTATATCTATCTATATCTATCTATATCTATCTATATCTATCTATATATCTATCTATCTATCTATCTATCTATATCTATCTATCTATCTATCTATCTATCTATCTATATCTATCTATATCTATCTATCTATCTATATCTATCTATATCTATCTATATCTATCTATATCTATCTATATCTATCTATATCTATCTATATCTATCTATATCTATCTATATCTATCTATATCTATCTATATCTATCTATCTATCTATCTATATCTATCTATCTCTATCTATCTATATCTATCTATCTCTATCTATATCTATCTATATCTATCTATATCTATCTATATCTATCTATATCTATCTATATCTATCTATATCTATCTATCTCTATCTATCTCTATCTATCTCTATCTATCTCTATCTATCTCTATCTATCTCTATCTATCTCTATCTATCTCTATCTATCTCTATCTATCTCTATCTATCTCTATCTATCTCTATCTATCTCTATCTATCTCTATCTATCTCTATCTATCTCTATCTATCTCTATCTATCTCTATCTATCTCTATCTCTATCTCTATCTATCTCTATCTCTATCTATCTCTATCTCTATCTATCTCTATCTCTATCTATCTCTATCTATATCTATCTATATCTATCTATATCTATCTATATCTATCTATATCTATCTATATCTATCTATATCTATCTATATCTATCTATATCTCTCTATATCTCTCTCTATCTCTCTCTATCTCTCTCTATCTCTCTCTATCTCTCTCTATCTCTCTCTATCTCTCTATCAAGACCCTATTGGGTCGAAACGTTGATGACTGATTTTTTTCAACACCGGATTATAAACTAGTTTGAAAAATCCCTTGGAGTGCTCCTTCATTGATTATACATACCGAGGCTTGGAAGCACCCGGGTAATTTCTGTACTTTATTTTGGATTTAAAGGAAGAGTGCCAGAGTTTATATATATATATATATGAATTATTTTATTTTTTATAACCAAATGTTACTTTGCAATCTTTTGCAGGAATACAGTCTGGCTTTCTTTTAAAAAGAAGGGTCACTCAATTTTGGAATAGGCACCTCAAAGAATATTATTTTACCCATTCATGACAAATTGATGTCATAAGAAAATATATGTATACACTCTGTATTCATATTTATTACCTGCCAACTGATAGCTTTGACTTGTTTTTTGAGGAGGAGTCATGTCTGCAACTTGGCTTATACAAATTTCACTGGGCTGTGCACATACCCTATTACTTGGTGAAAATGCCTGTTACAGTCCAAAACCAATCAAAAAGCACTTATGTTGAGTTGCTACCTGGACTGTCTTTAAAGGGACACTAGAGTCACCAAAACAAATTTATCTTAATGAAGCCGTTTTGATGTATAGATCATGCACCTACAGTCCCACTGCTAAATTCTGCCATTTAGGAGTTAAATCACTGTTTATGTAGCTCTAGTCACACCTCACTGCATGTGACTTACACAGCTTTCCTGCAAAGCAAGATCTAATGTTTACACTTCTTTTATTGCAAATTGTTTCATTTAGAATTTCTTATCTCCTCCTCTGTTAATAGCAAACTAGACCCTGCAGGGGCCTCTTGTATGTCATTAAAGTTCAGTTTACAGAGCAGGAGATGAAAACATTTAAAGTAAATTACATCTGATTGAAAATGAAACTATTTTGTTTTCATGCAGGTTGTGTCAATCATAGCCAGGGAAGGCGTGGCTAGGGCTGCATAAAAGAAAATAAAAGTGATTTGAAGTTTTAATGCTCAATTATCTGCCATTTAGAAATTCAGAGGCATGGTCTATACACAAACTGCTTCATTGAGTTTAAGTTGTTATGGTTACTTTAGGGTCTCCTTAACATTCCCCTCCCCCCATTTACCATTATAGCACACATTTTTTCTAAATCTACTTATTACACTCAAGCAATCTGACTTTAAACGGATAATCTCTTTGAACAGGTCACAAGAACCCCATGGGGTATGCATTCCATAGGTATTTGGGGAAAAAAATATGATGCAGAGGTTGTGTTTTTTTTTTTTTTTTTTAATAATCCTTTTCTCTGAACAAGACTGATTTTCTGTGCTTTTTATGTTGAGTCTGCCTCTCATTTTGATGCCAAATTACATTTCCCCGCTTAACCATTTTCATTTTTTGTTTTTACCTTGCAGGGTATTCTTTGAAGTAGCCAAGCTGCCTCCTTTGGATCTGCTAATGTTAGACACAGTTCTTACAAAAGAACAATAGTCCAATCTTCTATTTTGTATATAGCTTTGTAAATAACTTGTACTTTTATATATAAGGATTATTTCAGCACTCTGCTACAACTTTATATAAACTTTTGTATGTGTTCCAGTTGAGCTTTGTCAAAATAATTAAAATATGATGAACAATTCGGCATGATGTGGTGCTTGAAGTAGTAAGTGCATCTCTTGTTTGAAGTACCATTCTTCATTTTTACTCCAGTATACAGTTGTGTGATTGCCTCTTGAAGAATTCAGCTGCTGTTATGTTGGTATTCCACTCGAAATTATTGGGTTACTCCATTACATGCAGGGGTACACTGGTCGTCCGCTTTGCTTATAGGGCTAACTAATGAAAGCTGGTACAGGTACAACTCTAGTAGCTAACTGCACGATCTCAGTATGTGCAGAATATCATTATGAAACGCTGTACATACAGGGTCCTTGTACCATAATCACCTCAAAACATTGAAGAAGTCAAGGTACTTGATAGATGAAAAATTTTATATGACTGAACTTAAAACAAAAAAATGAACACACTTAAAAAAAATGCTGCTATGTAAGAGGAGGAAACTTAAAATCTAAAACAAAACATGCCAATGAGTGTGGTCCTGCATCAGCCGTGCTTTACTTTATAGAGAAATCTGTAACAGGGTTGATGTTCCAGTAGAGAGAAGGAAAATGGCAAATAATTTAGGTAAACTAGATAAATGGTTAGAGCTGTGGCAACGGACATATAATGTGGACATAAAAATCCAAAGGCAGAGTATGGTATAATTAATACAGTCCTAACCTCAATATCTGAGGCAATGTTTTTTTTAAATCCTCTTAACGCCATTATGGCGTTCTATGCCGTCCCCATTCTAATGGGCTTTAAAGCTGTTGCGGAAGCATAGAACGCCGTAACTGCTTTCAGCGTCTGGAAGTCCGCGGTACTTACCTTCACCGCGATTCTCTTCGGGAGGATTGCCTGACAGCCCTCCCACTGCAAATATGGCCCCCTACAACTGGCTGTGGATCTGCCTGCAGGGGGAGTGTCTGTGCTGTCACAGTCCCCCTGCTGGTGGGAAAGTAAAAAGAAAAAAATTACACGTTTAAAATACTCTCCCATACGAACGGCGGCCACCCAGCGGTCGACAATTAAACTGCGGTTAACCGCTGCTTCTGGGCGGTAAATTGCCTGCACACTCCCCCAGTAGGTGGTCTGGCTGTTCGGTAAATGGAATTTACCGAACATAGTAGAAAAGCACGAACAAGCCTTCCTACAGGGAAGAACAAAGGTTTTAACAGAGGGGCCATAATCCTGAGGCAGCAGGCGAGCAACCAGGCTCCTCCAGAACCCAGTGGCGAGGTTATTTTCGCCACAATATGTGTATAAATTAAATATATATATCTCTCCCGGGTGAAGTATACAGATTCCCAATAGTGATGACTGCACTCCTCTGACTTGTTTTAAAATTTAAATATTTCTTTATTTAGCAATTCATTAAAAAAAATGATCAACATTTCAGCCCCACAGTGGGCTTTCTTCAGGATCAAAGAATCACACAAAATATATATATATATATATACTGAAACAACTTATACTATAAAAGGAATAAACCAAATACTCACCCCAGCTGTTGCCACTTCCCGGCCGGCGTCCCTCTGTCATCAGAGTGCATGCGCAACACTACCCAATCGGAGCCACTCTGCATCCACTACACACTTACACACTCTACAGAGTGTGTTAGTGTAGTGAATGCAGAGAGTGTGTTGTATTAGTGTATGCAGAGTGTTTTAGTGTGTGTGTGTAAATGTGCAAACTAGGGCCTGCAATTAAATGTAATTGTACATTAAATTTAATTAAATGTTATTTCCCCCTTCCTGCTTCTTACCTGTGTCCAGGGAGGGGGGAGATTCCATCCCTGGTGGCATGGGGGCCCCCCGCTCCCTGTTACTGCAGAGGGGGCCCAGCAGACTGCGTCTGTACATTTACCTCCTCTCTTCTAATAACTCTTGCAAGGCATGCGTGCCGCGCAGAGCGTTGCCATGGCAACGCTCAGAAGACGGGTCTCGCAAGAGTTATTAGAAGAGAGAAGAAGAGTAGACGCAGTCTGCTGGCCCCCTCTGCAGTAACAGGGAGCTGGGGGCCCGCAGCTGCACATATAGATAGCGATATTTGCTATTTGTGTGCAGAGAAGGAATGTGGTTGTCACCCCCTGATGGTGGTCCTGCATCCAAACATTCCTCCCTCTCCATGCAGACACTGAACTTTCCTCATAGAGATTCATTGATTCAATTCATCTCTATGAGGAGATGCTGATTGGCCAGGGCTGTGTTTGAATCATGCTGGCTCTGCCCCTGATCTGCCTCTTTGTCAGTCTCGGCCAATCCTATGGGGAAGCATTGTGATTGGCTCAGGCCACAACATCTGATGATGCAGTGGGCAGGTCTAAAGGAAACATGGACAAACTATGCAGCTGCAGGCTTGAATTCAAGGAAGATTTTTACTTTATTTTTAGAGGCATTAGGGGACCAGGGTGGCTAGATGGTGGTATTAACCCTATAGGGTCAGGAATACAGGTTTGTGTTCCTGACCCTATAGTGCTCCTTTTAAGGGCAGGCATGACGTCACAACATTTGAATTAATATGAAACGCTCTAAGCAAGTGGACAGTGTGTAGGAATAAGCAGGGAAGTAATGGATTTGTGGGCCAGGAGGGGGAGCTGTTTGCAGGACAGAATGGTAAGTATGTACAGCTCCTCCTTTAGGTCATGTGGCCACATTGAGCATTCGGCTCACGCAGGCTCTTGTATTGAGTATGTTTGCTACAGAAGGGAAGCCAGCGGGAAGATGTGGTTAAAAGTACACCTGCAATCCACATGTGAGGGTGACTATTTGTTTCATGTAAATTAATAATTATAAATAATATGAAATGGATTGTTTGGATTTTAATGAAAGGTCCACTCCAGTCAAATACCCTCCTCTCCTAGAAAGGAATGTGCACCCCATTCACACGTTTAGGCTTATTAACAAAACATGGAGTGTGGTGAACTAATGAGGGAAGTGCCAATTTAGGCCAAAATAGCAATTTGGAAAATCTTCAATTTATTTTTATTCTCTCTTCCTTCTCAGAATGTACAATTCTCTAATCATGTAATTTGTTTAGTGCATTATTTTTATTTGCCAAACTCTCTGGTCCATTTTTCAGAGGAACCTACATTTTTGTCATGTTTCTCAAAGCGGTTCCATTTCAGACTTAGAACTTAATATGCTCTTGAGATCTTACATCATGTTCTCACAGCAATAGCTTCTCACATCACTGTATTCCCATGGGTGTATAGTGCTGGAACATCTTTACACCATCAAATGCTTGTAGTTCAGTCAAGTAAATGGTGATTGAAAGTACTCTGTAAACTATGACCTTGCACTAGTTTCCTTCATGCTTAGCATTGTACAGTTGTCCGTACAAGAACTGTTAAACTACATATCCCAGAAACCCAGATTTCAACCGCTCCTTCATGAAGGAGAAAAGAGGTCACTAAATGTGGCACAGGCTACTTAGTAACTTATAGTGGCTCAGTCACTTCAAACTTTCTCTCCCCAGCACTTCAATCCATTCTTTGTTTTCAAACATAAGACAATGTAGGACTACTTTTGTCTTATGTATTTTTAAGGAAAGCTCCACTTCCTTTGTCAAGAGTAGGAAAATACATACGAAAAATGTTGATGAGTTGATTAAAGCAACAACGATGAGCCAAAATAATATATTGCTACAAACTACCACTGAAATATGGAATTTGTTTTCTTGAGAAAATAACTAGTTTTCTTGTTTATAGCAATCATATTTTAAAGTATGCTAGAACAGCCCTTCTATTCTACTGAGAAGTTAGCTTGATGTGTATAATGGCTTACCTTTTTTCTTTTAAGTCCTACAAAAACATTACACTCTCCACCCTGCATTTAAGGCACTTGGCCATATACCTTCAGTGAACAGTAGAAAGATCAAATAGGATTTCTCTCCCTTTTTCCTTATTTAGATTTCAAACGACCTTTATATCAATGAATATACAAGTTGACATAAACTATAGCTCTTTTTATGTATTCCTAAAGGGACACTCCTGGCACCTATAACATTAGTAACCCACACCATAAGTTGTCCTCCTACTGCCCTCCCAAACTATACACATGCAGACTCTTCTTTATAGCTGTATTGTTTAGAGTAGACTCTTTTCAAAGCAAGAGGCAATTGTGGTTGTAGGTCAATTTACCAATTAAACCTGTACAACGTGCAATCCAGTTATTTATAAAAATAAATTAAGCAATGCACAGCTTCTATCACCCTGCTTAAATGGTCACTCGAGAACCAACGGAGATAGTGCAGAGTGCCATATAACTACCCAAATTTGACAGAGGTATTGAAGCTCTACTGCCCCTTAGACTTTTCAATCAGAAGCCAGAACAAGTGTTATATAATACCTGCGTTAATCTTGTCCAGCCTGTGCATTTGGTGAGAGCACAGTGCAAGCATAACTTGGACAGTGCTCCTTCTCACTCCCTGGACTGTGTATGCTCAGACTGTAGCTCTGCTGATAGATACACATAGCCTGGTTTACTAAACAGGCACCATCAGTTTTGTTGGAGCAGTTCTAAGCAATCTATGTGATGAGATAAATTACTTCTACACTGAACAAAATTATAAAAACAACACTTTTGTTTTTGCCCCTTTTTTTCATGAGCTGAACTCAAAGATCTAAAACTTTTTTATGTACACAAAAGGCCTATTTCTCTGAAATATTTTTCGCAAATCTGTCTAAATCTGTGTTAGTGAGCACTTCTCCTTTGCCGAGATAATCCTTACAGGTGTAGCATATCAAGATGTTGATTAGACAGCATGATTATTGCACAGGTGTGCCTTAGTCTGGCCACAATAGAAGGCCACTGTAAAATGTGCAGTTTAACTGTATGGGGGGAGGGGAGGGTATCCCAGTCAGTATCTGGTGTGACCACCATTTGCCTCACACAGTGCAACACATCTCCTTCGCAAAAAGTTGATCAGGTTGTTGATTGTGGCCTGCGGAATGTTGGTCCACTCCTCTTCAATGGCTGTGCGAAGTTGCTAAATATTGGCAGGACCTAGAACATACTGTCGTATATGCCGATCAA